CTAAAGCTTAGCAAATGTTTCCAATTCCCTTTGCCTCCTTTTGCTACTTCTCCGTTTCTGCAGATTACATGAACAAAGAGTTTTCAAAGAGACAGGGAAGAGGAAAATGAAAAATATGGGGGAAAAAATAGTTTTAGGGTTGCCATAGTGACAAGAGGGGAGAGATTCCAGAGTGGTCTCGGCCATTACGCAGTGTGTTTGGTAGATGGGCTGTGCAGTACTTAGGCTTATTGCAGTGTGGGCTGAAAAAGAACATATCTAATATAGACGAGATGAGAATACACCAAAATGGTGGTTGTTGAGCCCCCGTCTAATATGAAGAAATGATAATTTGTTAAAGTATTACTGCTAAAAGCTTCAGGAAGAAAGCAAAAAGAAAAAAATAATATGCTCAAAACTGCCATATAACATCTGCATGCAAAAACACGGCAGTGCACATATTTATTGCACAAAAATCCAAGCACAATTACTGGTTGTATACCTCTATAAAAAAAGAAACAATAATTATCCCAAATGACCCCCTCCATGATATAATGGAATATTACTTTAGCTACAGGTGATGTATGTCATCTTGGTCACAAAAAGCAAGAACTTATCACATTACTTCATATATTGTGTGTCAGAAGTAAAATATATGTGTATGTTTTGCTTTTGTTTCTTTTTTTTTTTTGTTTGTTTGATTTTTTCAGAGTAACAAATCAACTCAAAAGTTTTACAATTTTTGCGGCACATTTTTAAATATATGCACTAAAAACAAGACATTTTATGCAATCCCTCTCTAAATCATATCCCATAATCATAATATCTGCAGGGTTACTTCAACTTTAGATACTAAAAATGTTAACCTTAATACTTAATACAAAATACAGGTGTTTTAGTGCATGTTTATCTTAGTAAACCTACTAAATATCAGTGTGTGCAGTGTGGTTATTAATGTGCTTTATATTAAATTGATCTTGCACCAATAAACATGTTGCCGCTCGGGTAAAACCTTACAGTCACAAAAGCCATACAAGCCCCGAATGGTCAGTATGGATGATTAACATGATCACGAACCAGAGTAATTCCAAAGATAGGACATTTTAGGCGAATCCCCTCTCCTTAAAGCAAAAAAAAATCTACCCTTTGCAATACTGCTACTGAATACAAAACTGTGATTACTTCAAACCCCCGCAGAGCAATAAGATTAAACATTGGCAGGTTAAGTTTAGACAACAAAACAGCAAAGGTAAAACATGTTTAATGAAGTAAATTTTTTTAACTCTTTCAGTGCAAAACCATTAAGTAATGCTGGTCTTATTGGAGTTATTGTCAAATATCTTTATAAAGAGCAGCGCTATAGACAGTGATGTTAGAATGAGCAAAAACTTGGACCAAAGCAATCTTCTTTTTTTGGTTACTTGCCCACATAAATGCTTAGGCTTAGAGTTTGTGTTAGTTATGCCTGAAACTCCTGATAGAAGCTTTTAGCAGAGTTATTCCCCATAATTTTTTTATACAGCATCTGGTGCTTCTAAACAGGGGCTCTCATTCAATGGGCAAACAGAACATCTAATGAGAGGGGATAAAAAAGGTTAGCTATTTTTTTGTGCCAAACAAAGGATAAAATATACACCTGAAACACACCTCATGGTCTAAACGAAATTAAAATGTTTTTTTATTTTTTTTATTTTACTATCACCATCTGTTGAGTGTCATGTTTTAAAAAATATAATTAGAAATGTCTGCACTTATGCACAAACTAAAGCAGTGTACTAAGCTGGTAAAACTTTTCTCTACAATGTCTAAAAAAATGTTTGAACCTTACTTTGCGTGAAACCTTTAAAAAGTTTCTGAAAACTTGCAGGAATAAAACCCAGGTTCATACGTAAAAATGGTAAAAGCAAAAACACAAAGGGTAGTAAAAGAAGGAAGGAAGAAGAGCAGAATTTTATGCAGTAAGAAATATTATGATGCAAACATGTAAGTTTCAGGCATAATGAAATCTAGTTTCACACAAAAAAATATTTTAGAGTTGTACAGACAGAAAAAAAAAATTGCAGCTAGTATTGATCTGTCATATTTACAAAAAGAGTGAACTGATTTCCAATTCCACTTTTTTAAGTTACCAGTGGCCCAGTGGTCCATAAATCAAACAAAAACAAACCTAAAACATAATCCAAAAACAATCCCTTTTGATGGATGCACTGCAGTTTAAATCACTTTTAAATGCAGGTGATTAGAGGACAAGCAATTTGAGACATATCCTGATTCATTTATAAACATAAAAATGTATATATGCTTAGAATAAACATGCTTAGTAGGGATGCTACTTTGCAGCGGCGGTAAAATTTTATTATGTACAAAATCCTGTATGCATAGAAGCTTCTAATTGTCCATCATACTTTAGCGCTATGAAATGACCTACAACCAGCAAAAGTAAACATCAATCCCCTAAACAAAGGTCATTAAACATATCCTAACATGTAAGCATAAGGAATAAAATGCAGAAAGTATGCATCTGCATTAAAAACTACACTACAAATACACCAAAAAAAGATTAAATGTTAAAATGTAATCACATTTCATTTCTTTTCAGTTTGATTAATATGGTCTACAGTTAGTGAAAATTCAAAATTCAGTGTCTCATAAAATGTGTGAACCTGGTACATTTTGAAAACTCATGGTGTTTAACTCAATTTAGTTAATTAACTCAAAACAGCTGCAAAGGTTCCCTGAGCTTCTAAATAGTCTCCCAGTCCGGGTCACAGAGCTAAACAATCATAGGGAAGACTGCCGACTTGACAGATGTTTAGAAGTCAGTTACTGAAAAAACCCTGTTAAGAGGTAATTGCTTAAAAAGTTGCTTGTTTACTAAATATTGTATCAAAAGAGAGCTGTCAGGCAAAATGCAACCAACACATCAGGGTATCTTTACAAGAAGTCGACTGAGGCTGGAGTCAAGACCACCAAGCGCCACTTTGCACTAATGAATGTTGCATATGGAGTACAAATGTCACATTTCTTGTGTCAGAGAGACTAGGCTGTTGCCAAGTAGTACAACTCACTCATTTCATCTTAAAGTAAAGTTTGCATCTCTTTGGAAAACCAAGAGTCTAGATGAAGAGTAGAGAGGTATAGAATCCACTTTGAGAAGAAGTCCAGTATGAAGTTTTCACACTCAATGATGCACTGGGGAACCAAGTCATCCTCTATTATTGCTCCACTGTTTTTTTGAGGTACCTGGACAAGGCTTGTACATTTAAGTGTACTTGATGCTTCCTTGTGCTGAAACGCTTTATAGAGATGCTGATGAAGTTTTCCACCAAAACATGTGCAGCAACTAAGTCTTTATTGCAATTGACTGGCCATCAAGTTGAACTGAACACCATACAGAAAATATGAGGAATTGTCAAAAGAAAGGTGACGGACACCAGAACTAACCGTTTAGATGACCTGAGCAACTTTATCAACGCTATCTAGGCTCCCATTACACCCCAACACAACAACAACCTGATCTCACCCATGCAATTAACATTAAAGATGTAATTATATGCAGTTAGATATAATGCCAAGAAAGGCCCTACCAAGTACTGACTGCATTGAAATAAACCTGCTATATCTGTTAGACAAAGGATTTTTTTATATATAAATATTTCTTTATTGAAATAACAGTTTTTTCAAAGACTGATTTTTGGATTTTCAATATCAGTAAATCATGACAATTTAAATTACAAGAAATTAGACTTTAAACTTGTGACTTTTTAGTAATTAATCTATTTAATATAAAATATATTTAATGTGTAAAAAGCTTTACAGATTGATGGAAAATACTAACCTTTTACTCAGTATTCAAACTTCTTAAGCAACGACAGGTGTAGGTATCATGCTTACATGAAGGAGACTTCAGGTTACGTAAAAACCTATTGAGTAACTAATTTGTTCATACTTGTTTTTTAAGAACAAATTTGAATCGAAACATGACAGCTCCTGACAAAGGCCTCCAGGAGAAAAAAAACCTTGGAAATGATCATCTAAAACATCTTGGGGTTACTCGTTTTCAGGACAACATTAACTAACAAGAAGTTACAAAACTCTTCTTATGTCCCTTTATGTGTCCCTTTATGGCAAAACATAAAAATAGTTTCCTTCAGCTCTATGTCATTACCAAATGTTTTATATATAAAATATTCCATGAATGCAAACATGGTGTCTGTTTCACTCAGTTAGAGTGAGCGAGTTTTTTCATTTGCATATCAGGTCCATTGTTCACTCTCCAATTACCCTTCACTATAACCTAGAGGGCAGCACCACATGTCAGCATCTTTTTTTCCTCTATGGCATAGGTCATTGCAGAAGGTCTTGCTGTATGAGTAAGGAGACAGGTAATTATGACTTTGTACAATTTCTGCTTGTTGCTTAACGAACTCCATGTGTTTAAGCTAGTCTGACTTGCACTTGACTTACTTTAGGAACAGGAACAAAGAACTTAAAGTACTAAGAAAGTATAAAATAATAACAAGCGTAACAATAATTAACATCATCACCATCAGTCTTGCATGTGTCTACAAGCTTAACTTGCACAGAAAACCAAACTTCCTGCAAAACCAGCCTTATATTTGCAATACATCTGAAACAACAACAAACCAAAATAATGTACAGTAAGCTGCCTTTCCAGCTACAAACCAATTATTATTATTTAAACAATAATAATACAAATTAAATAATAAACTTCTGGCAAAAACAGTATGTCATTAGTACTGTAGTGTACTAAATAACAAGATGGTAGAGTTAGCCATGGGAATGGAAGTTTGCACTAAATCATTCTATTTTCCATTTAACTCAACTTGAAGAAATGATTTGAAAATGTAAAAAATTCAGACCAAAAAATTAAAAATATAGATCTAATAAATGGAACTTACTGGGAACTTGTGTTACATGAAATTGTTGCATTAAATTAATTCACTGATAAACATATTCAGCAAAAATGAGCAAAATGCACATTTATAAAACAGTCTTACCTTCATAAATAGCTTTGAATCCCTGCCCGCTGACAGCATAATCAGACAGCAGCCATAAAGTGAGTCTGGAACCTGTACTCACAATGGGTGAAGGCAGCTGGAACCCAGTTAACCTGAAGGTAGAAACATACAAAGGAAGAAATATGTGATCAACAAAAATATAGTTGATTAAAAATTATAAAGAAGGGATTCTAAAACTGGCAGGGTACACCGTGGACAGTCCGCCAGTCCATCGCAGGGCCACACAGAGACATGCAAAGACGAATAACCATCCACACTCACACTTAATCCTAAGGGCAATTTGTAACGTCCAATCAACCCAACATGAAGGTTTTTGGACTGCGGGAGGAAGCCGGAGAGCCCGGAGAAAACACATGCAGACATGCATAACAGACAAACTTCACACAGAAAGGTCCTGGTTCCTCCAGGACTCAAACCCAGATCCCTATTGCTGTGAGGTGTTGGTGCTAACCACACCACCATGCTTAAACAAATATATTACTTATTAAATTATAACTAAATAGGCCATCTATTTGTAAAATATGAAAATACAGAAATTGTGTAATTAGTACGGGTTGCTCAGTGATGCAGTGGGTAGCACTGCTGCCTTGCAGCAAGAAGGGTTCTGGTTTGATTCTTGGCCCAGGATCTGTCTGAATGGAGTTTGCATGTTCTCCCAGAGCATGTGTGGGTTCTTTCCAGGTACTCCGGCTTCTTCCCACAGTCTAAAAACATGACTGTTATGTTAACTGGCTTCTCTAAATTATCCTTAGGTGTGAGTGAATGGTTGTTTGTCCTGTTTGTCTCTGTGTTGCCCTGTGATGGACTGGTGACCATTTCTCGCCCGTGGACAGCTAGAGATAGGCACCAGCACTCCTCGCAACCCCGCTTGGGATAAGCGTGACAGAAAATGGATGGCTGGATGGATGGATGTAATTAGTACATAATTATGTTTAATTGAGGCCCATATAATAATTGATTTCATGTTAAGAAATAAATACAACAGTGTCAGCTGATTCTCTCTCAATGGTGTAATTCAATCCAAACATCACTTTGAAACATATAAAACACATCACTACAATGGGTGAAAATAGCTCTGAAATAATAAACACCAGAAGCCACAGCAAGTTTTCTAGTACAGGATGACTGTTCCGACTGAATGATCACTTTTCCCTTTCAACTAGTGAGGAAAACCTGCTTGCTGTCTGGCCACTGTCAGTCCAAAATCCTTAAGAATATTAGCCAATCAGCATTGAGCAGCCAATTTCATGACTCACCCCTGCTCCTTAGATATTTTAATAGGTTTAGCCCCACTGGAAGTGAAGTATTTTGGCATGCCATCCAATCTGGGCTCTACTTTCTTGCTGCTTGCCTCAATAGACCAAGGCTCAAACCTCAACAGGGATTTCTCTTAGATGTCGGCAACATCCTGCTGTCCAGAGCAGCACAACATGAATTACTTTAAATTGTCACAAGTCCATTAAAATCAAGGGGGTAGGACTATGGCCTCAATTAGACATTGTGATTGTCTGCTTCTCGCTGAGTAATAACTTTCAATGTCTTGTTTTTTTTTCTTGTAGATTACTTTACAGTTGTATCACTAGTTAAGTTTGTTTTCCATGTGAATACCAAGGTATTTATAATCATCCACCTCCTCAACTTCTTCTCCCATTATGTTGGTCAAAGTATGGGATACACAGTGTAAATTCAAACAATACATCTAGTTCCTGAAATATTCCTTACTTTTGTTTTTGTTACATTCACAGTGGAGCATAAAATGTTAATCTACTTGTGCAGCAAAAATGTATCCATTTGCTTTGTTTCAAATCTGCTGTTTAACAACTTTATACTGTGGTAAAACCAAGCAGGTGGTTTAATTTACACATAGAGATGATATTAAGTGTTCCGAAAGATTTTGTAGTATACAGAATATGGGTTTTTTTTGCAACCAAAAAGATAGACTAAAAATGTCTAATAAATTAAGCAATACTTTTTAATCACAACAGATTGACTATTTCACACTTTAGAAAACAGAAGAGAACAATTATAGTTCTAATTGGCAACTAAAAACTGTGATTATCACACTTCTTCCAAAAACACATCAATGATCCAAAAAACACCTACAATCACCTACGGCTAAATTATGTTTTTTTTTTTTATGTGTGTGTGTTTATGTGTGTGGGGGGGTATGCTCTTGTTTTTAATATATTTTGGGGAACATTTGCAGGGAAAATGACACATTGTCAGGACCGAAAGCTCTTTAAGGGGCCCAATGCCTAGACGTGGGGCATTGCTGTTTTTGGGTCAGGAGTCCCCCTCAGGACTGGAATTTGGTGAATTTAGTTTAGGTTGGGGTTAGATAGGACCCAACAACGGTCAGGGTTAGGGTAAGGGTCACAGGCTGTAAAATTTAATGGAATAAACTGAAAGACACAACAAATAAAGTGAGACAAGTTTGCGTGTGTGCCTGTAATTGTAGTGTCTTAGATTTGCAAGTTTCAAATGTTTGAAGAAAAATATAATTATAATGCTGTTTTCAATGCAGACCAATATATGTATGCATAAAAACCATACCGCTTTGACAACAGAAAAGTGCCAGAAAAACAAATACAAGAATTTTGATATTATGCCTAATAACTAAGGTGTACAAGATGCAAAGAGTCCCCACAATGAGAACACCAGACCTCCTCATCGAATCTGAAATAGCAATAGTCTGAGGTGTGATTTTGGATACATCATTGCTCAAATTTTTAAAATAGGTCATGCTGGTCCTAAATGTTGTATTTTCATATTATTTGAAATGATCAAAATTCAATAAATTGTTTTAGTAAATATAGTAAGTACACATTTTTATGTGGATGATAGTTTTATTTATTTTTTTCAAAGGATTAAGAATTAAATAATAGTCTTGTTGAGGGCTAAATTTGGATCCCTAGAGGTGTTGTCACTGCAAATCAATCTTCACAAGTGCTGATATTCTGTTTGCCACTCTTTTCCTTCCAGACACCATCTATCATGGCCATCTATGTAGTTTCAAATATATCTGTGCAAAAGGTTTTCAGCATATATCAGACATGTTTTATATAACTGCTTTTTAAAAACGTCCTAGTTTTTTTTTTTTATATATTTTTTCCACCACAAGAACACAAGCTGTTACACCAGTCTTCTTTTATTAACATAAGAAAAAAAAAAAAAACTACTTTGGGCTGATTTTGGCAACTCTGTTAATAGGACTGTTAATGTGGCTGTCTCAGAGTATTCTCCCTCACAAACGTATTTCTTTCTCTCTTAATTTGACCAAATATATGATGTTCACTTTAAGGCCCTTGCATTTAATCCACAGCCAGTGAATCCGATAACTGGGGAACTGATTTGTAATTGTCAATTTATGTCGTCTCTGGATGGGATCCTGCAAAGTTTTCCTGGGTCTCCCTTTAAAATGTTTTCTACTCTGCTCACTTTTATTCCATAACTATCTGTACAAGTTCTCCTGTTAATGTTTTTGATAAAAAAAACATTTAATTGTGCCACCCTACAGTGCAAGATTTGAAAATTTCATGCCACAGACAATGGTTAATGGAATGAGCAAGATTCATGTTTGTAATACAATCTTGTAAATACGGTTTGCATTTTTATTCAGACTACTTGAGACAAAGATTTGTAGAATGACCTCTTCAAAGTGATATTTGATGGTAAGAATTTGAGCAACAACTGTAAGTCTTGTAACTGCCTAGTCTATACCGGAAGCACGATCTGTACCATCAGCTTATTTGCGCATGCGCTACCAGATATACATCTGGGTTTCCATAAATAATATAATTATGGCACTAAAATTACTTACTTATCTCCTTAACTCACTGGAGAACGGTAATGCATACACATCTTTAAAAAATGTTTTATGACTTTTCTGACAATATTCTGATGCTTTTTAATTTTTTTCAATTGAACTCCTTTTGTGAAGTTATCATCGGACATGCTCAGAGTAGTCCAGCAAAATATGATTAAACCATATTTATCTGCATTTTAGTTGTTTCTTTCCTAAGTTACACACTATATGCCATAATGTTAACGCAAAAGGAAAACATAGAACTCAAAAAGACTTTGAGTTTTGTTTAAATCCAAAGCCGAACGTTAGTTCCTGGAAGGAGCGTAGGATCTTATTTCTGGTGCAGATCGGGCACAGACGAATGATAAAACAGAAAGAATTTTAATGCATTTATTTTCTCAGAAAATACATTAACCTTTAACACATCATAGTTTAGTATGCTTACGTTTTTTTGGGAAGGGAAAAAAGTTATTTAGGTCTTTTTTACAAAATAAAATCGAGGGCGACCCAGATGTATATCTGGGTGCGCATTTGTAAATGAGCTGATGGTAAGGATAGGATAGCGACAAGTCTTTCCACGGATCACCAATTGCTACAACGCTTTGACTTGACTCTGCACAGCAACAGATATGTGTTGATCTAAACCGTTCTACCTTAAGTGGCAGTACGTATGGTGTTGTTCTTCTGAAAGGTGAACCTTAACCACAGTCTAAAGTCTTCTGCAACATCCAACTAGTTTTCTTCACAAATTTCCTTCTATTTACTTAGCTCCATTCTACCATCAACTCTAACCACTGTCACTGTTCATACTTAATTTTTTCCAGTTTTTCATAAAACAGTAGATTTACAGAATGCTCAACCAAAGTTGTGCTTTCAAGACATTCTAACACCTGAGCCATGGTTCTCTGCACGTCTTGCAGTTACTATGATATTTTTGGCTGCTTCTATGATTAGTGCTTCGCTTGATATGTCTGTCAATCAGGAGGATGGCCATATGTTGGTATGTTGCAGTTGCTCCAGTTTCTAATGATTGACGAGTGCTCAGTTAATTATTTAAGTATTCAAGACGAGGGATACTGTTAAATAATCAAATCCTGCTTTAAATAATCCAAAGCTGTTTCCTTTGGTCTTCAAGATGTTATTTTATCAATGGTTTCCAATACACATCTGATGTTTTTTTATAAGACGTCTATAATTATACTGAGGTTAAATTACACTAAAGTGATTTCTAATTAATGTGGTGATTAAGTATGTGGGTGTATTTAGATGAAAACCTTTTAGATTATT